ACAGCAACCAAGTAGCTTCACACTATCTTATACAATTGTACCAGAACATGCAAATAACTAAATTACTTTTAGAATGGCTCATATCTTCCTTGAAACTTTGTAAAAACTTTAGAAGAAAATCAGAAATGGTAAATTATTTTCTTTTTTATTTGGAGGTCTCATGGATATCATGGGAATTTGGCAGCTAATAAATTCAAATAAATAATTGAATGCCATCTGGGGATGTCTTAAGTGATATAGTGGCCACAGACTCTGTAGTATTGACTCCAAAGTAATTGTCATTTTCATCAATAAAGTCTCTGTTTTAAATACAGACTTCCAGGGTAGAATGGTGGGCTGAAGACAACTCTGTGAAAAATAAGAGTCAAAATTTGCAGCAAGAGACAGGGCTGCCAAGTAGATTTGCTTCTTTGATCCTCTCAGGATAAAGAAGGGATGAGATATAACCCAAGCTGCATTCCATTCTCACAAGGAAAATGAAAGCAGTGATCTCCAGAAGGTAGAAGAACTAAGAGCTGAGAGAATTTGCCAACCGCCAACCAAGTCTTTTCAGATGACACTAAGTTCACTTCTTTTGCTAACTATTTTTGGAAATTTGCCTATTTATTGATTTCAAGAAGTTACACACCTTCAGAATGACAGGTCTGGAAATATACCAAGTTAGTGCTTTTAATCCTTAATATAAGAAAATGAAAATGTATTTGTATTTTAAATTTAATAATTTAAAATAAACAGCAAAAATGAGGCAATGTTTCACTTTATGTTTTAAATGGATTAAGGGCTCAGAAAACATTGGAATACTGGACTCTGAAAATTAATGCTTTGTAATTCATTTTAAAGAATAAATGCATTCTTTGGGAAAGAAGAATTGTTTTGATATTGGAGACATACAAGACAACAAACTTATAATAGATAGTTACAGAGATAGTTTTGAGGAATTGCATTGGGATTTTGAATGAATAAGACCAGCTATGTTATATTTTTTTTAGGATTATGCTATTCCCAGAAGAAGTTGTTACAGAAAAAGTTATGTAGCAAACTATAGCTGAGAACAATTTGAATAAAACTTGAAAAAGAATTCATCATCTGTGAAAAAAAAAAAAACTGGACGAGGCTTTAAAATTTAAGGTGGAAATGAAATTGACAATTTACAAAAGAAAAAGTTTTGAAAAAGCTGTTTAAAGTCTTGAAGAAATTTGAAACAAGGATCAATCATATGAATGGATTAACGAGCAAGACTGGTTTATATAAAAAGAAGAAATACAAAGTTGGTTTACTTGACTGTGAAACTGGGATATGTTGCTATTGTGAGTGGTTATTTTTGATTTGCTGACATCTGAACTGGAAAAATGTTATGTATTGGATCTGTACATTTTGTTATGTATTGATTTTTACCCATATTGATTTTTACCCATTTTGTTATCTTTATTAAATTTTCCATTTGATCATTACTAAATTCATCTTTCATTTGATCATTATTAGATTCATCTTCATTTTTTTTAACCATCTAGTATTTTTATTATACTATTTTTGAGTTTCCCATAAATCTTTCCAAAACTGGATTGTTTCCTTTTTGTTTGATATTCCATTTTGGTAGAATTACCTCTGGTCTGAATAAAACAGCTGGTTTTTCTTAAATTGGATGATTCATGCCTCATAGCATTCGATTTTCCCAACTGTTGCTTGTACTTGTTGGTATATGATTTCCAAATCTTCTTTATTTTTTCTGGTGCTAAGCCAGCATCTTTTTATTAGGCTTGTCCTGATCCTTGCATTCTTCAATTTTTGCTCTTTCATGTTTTTTAAATTACTTGCATCTGATCTTTTTTTTTTTTTATCTTGGCCTCCTATCAGCTCTTCCACTTGAGACTGAATATGATTTTGATTTTCTAATTTCAGGACTCAGTTCTTCCATATTCACCACTGCTGAACTGTAGGCAACACGACTGGTCTCTTCAATAAATGTTATTTTAATCCTTACAAGCACTTTATTCATATACTTCATTATAGATGCCAGGGTTTTAAAAAAATAGTGCAATTATTGCATCTAATCCCCAAAATATATTTTCTTTGCACTAGGTATTTAACAGATTTTTCAAATATAAAAAAAAATGGAAAGGAGTTGCAACAATGTGATGTTAAATAATAGCCAGTATAAAAACCTGGAGAAATCCTGTTATGATGGCAGAACTACATTATCCAAACAATGTCAACCTACACTCTGCATGGAGAATAAATATCTTACACTAGGATAAACATCCCACACCTTGTGTGCCATCCAAATACTCAGAGATTGCTGAAAAATAGGCCTGTCTATCTCAAGGACATCCTGATTAAAAAAAGACTCTGCTAGGATGCAAACCATTAAAAAAATTATTTCATTGTGAGATTTTATTACAGCAAAAACATATAGTCTTAAAATTAGGCCTCAGCACATCCCTATATTAAAAATGTTATATGGCTATCTAAAAAGTTTTAAACTTTAATGGAGCATAGCTATTAGGGTGGTGGAGGATCTATTTTTAAGCTACATTGTCATTTATTGTTTTACATTATTCCATTCACAACCACTACCAGCTGTCAAATTAGTAATGTAATTCATTTTAAAAATCATTAGAGCCTAACACATTCTGACAAGCAAACGTGAGGAATACTAACAGAAGAATGGAACAAACATGGAAAAAAATGTGATTCTGTTTGGGCTTTTTCATCCTTGTGAAACTGTATCGCAAAAGAAACAGAATGTTAATTTTTTACTCCCCTCTTTAATAATTCCACCTGAATTTTAAAAGGAAATTAAGTAAAAGACAACCCCTAGCCAAAAAAAAAAAAAAAAAAGATCAATATAAATGAACTGAAGTATTTAAAAAATGTTAGTAAGGTCACACTTGTAGCTTTCCTATTACAAAAAAAAAAAACTGATTAAAAATTAAGCTTTTGAGTGCGTAGTATAGTCAATAAAAAGTTTTATTCCTATTTCAAGCATTGGGAGGGAATACGAATATACAGAGGGAGGGGGAATTAAGTGGGGAGATGATACTCCTCCAAACATCCCCACTAGAAAGCAGGGATCATTGACAGAATATCCCAGAGCTAAATCATGCTTTCTTATGCCCTAACCTGACCTTGCTAGTAAAATAGAAAGAAGCTTGACTTTCTGCAAAAAGATGAAGAAAACAAAACAAATGGAAACCCTGAGGTTCTGGGTCTGTAGCCTGACCTAGTTGAAAAAGGTATATCTAAAGAAAGAGTAAAAAAAAAAACATTATAAATATCACAGCTGAATAACAGGTAAGATATGGTGAAACAGATTCTTTATTTTGTTGCAAAATAATTATTGTCTCTTCTTGCAGCTAGAGCTAGCCTTCCTTCCTTCTTTCCTTCCTTTCTTCTTTCCTTTTTTCCTGCTGGAGGTTTTTCTATTCCCCCCACCCCCCACCCCACCCCGAAAAAGGAAATGTTTAGCTTGGATCTCCATAACATCGGATTCTGGATATGGGAAATCCACTCCTGGTCCTTAACCTGGTTTTAGTAGGAAAAGTATTTGATCATGCTGAAAGGAGAAGAGAGGAAATTCAGCCTTCTGCATGTTTCAGCAGCTTTTCATCTATCTGATCATGATACTCATTGAAAAGAGTTCTTCCTTGGCCTGATAACAAGCAATTATGGGTAAAGAATTTACAGTTGTAGACTCTCCTGTAAGGCTAGGAGAAAAAGAACACTGTAATTAGAAAGTCTACCCTCTTATGCACACACAGATACACTGATTCTAAATTGACAATAACTTACTTGCCGTAATTTTTATATCAATTATGCTTTCAATCTAAATAAAGCTTACTAAAGAGAATTTTAGGAGATTCATGCTTGGAAAGAATCACTTTTTTTATTCTGGTCTGACAGTCTCACAATGACTGATCAGTTGGAGGCTAGATGAAACTACTTTAGGACTATGCATATTAGGATTTCAAGATCTAATATCTAGCAATGAAGAATCAAACTTCACCAAAAATATCATAAATTAGGTCCATAGATTGGGTTTAATATTTCTCTAAAATAAGCTTGAGAGAGGTAAAAATCAGGATAGATCGATAGTTGCATCAGCATTCTTGAAAGCAGGAAAAAGTTCAGTATGTGTCACAGTCTACACTTCCTGTTTATAGCTTACAATAAAATATACAGGTATCTTGGATTCATATTTTTCTAAAGAGAAAACTAGCATGTCCTGAGATGTGCCCTGGTGGCACAGTAGTTAGAATACAGGATTGCAGGCAAACTCTGCCCACAGCCTGGAGTTCGAACCTGATGGGGCTCAAGGTTGACTCAGCCTGCCATCCTTCTGAGGTCAGTAAAATGAGGACCCAGATTGCTGGGGGCAATATGCTGACTTTGTAAACTGCCCAGAGGGCGCTTTAAAACACAATGGAGCAATATATACGTCTAAATGCTATTGCTATATGCAAATCTTTGGATGTTGCACTCAGAAGACAGCACAAAGACATCTATCTATTCACTCTTTACCTTCTGCACTGTGACCAGACTTCATTCATCCTTCATCTTAGCAGTAGCTCTTACTCCACCGTTATCATTTTTAACACTGTTAAACCAGTGGTGGGATTCAAAAGTTCCCACCACCGGTTCTGTGGGCATGGTTTGGTGAGCATGGCTGCAGGGGTGGAATTGTGCGACGTGCGCGATCAGGCATGCGTGCATGCGCCAAAGTGTGCTTTATGCATGCGTTGAAACAGTAAAAATTAAACTACTGCGCCTCTCAGATGTTTAGCACAGCAATCCGCTCTACCACGCCAAACAGCAGACAGGTTAAAAAGGACCTAGGAACAGGAGCAGGCAGGTGGACCCAACTGCAGAGCATCGGAGCGAAGAGCATCAGCGCTACTGGTATGCCAGAACTGGGCCGAACTGGTAGAATATCACCACTGTGTTAGACATTTTTGTGATTTACCAAAATGGCATTCCTCCAAGAAGAAAATGCCATTCCTTACCTTGTCTTTATTTTCAGAGCCAGAGGCTTCAAGTTTGGTTCGGATCACGAAAGGGGTGGACAGTCTCAGCAAGACACGTTCAAACACGGCTGCAATCTTTGGAGAAACAATTTCAAAGCAGTCCTGGAACTTCAACGTCTTATGAACCTCGCACTTCAGCTGCTTCCTTAGTCCTTCACCCAGCTGCAGTACTAACATGCTGGGATCAAACATCAGATGGAAAGGAAAAGCACGGCAGAAGGTGTTAATGCTTATCCTCAGATCTGAGGGGGACTGAGATGTCCCCAGAGGAAGCGCTTTTGTGATCTTTGCATTTTCACGCTCTTTGATAATAAAAGTGAGACAGCTGCAGTTGCCTGGGTTTAGGTCCTCAGAACATAGTTTATCGTTTACAATCTGTTCCACTTCGACATCCAGTTGGTAGATCTTCCTTGCTGCTGCCTTCACCATGCCCATCATGGCAAACCCAACGATCTGATGGGGATGGAAGCAGTGAAGCATAAGGTTGCCTTCAGGGAGCTCTTTGCATAGGAAAGAAGGGGATTCTGAAGTGACCTGCCTCCCAAACGAAGTCCTTATGTGCTCCAGCAAAGCATCAAAGCCATTAAAAAAATCTTGCAAGGTGCCACCCACAGCTCGAAGGACTCTCTCATTCTCACTGAAGCAGATATTGAAGAATTCAGCCCCGAACTTCTCTTGTAGCTCCTCAAACTTTAAGCCTAGAAGAGACATACGTCAGTATGAAATCACAGTGGCAATGATCCTAGGAGAGGCAAAAGTTTGGGAAGAGGCAACAATCTGGATCGACCTTTGGGAGGAGAGTCTAGCTCAGGGGTGTAAAACTCTATTTCATTGAGGGTCACATCAGGGTTGTGCTTGACCTTGGGGGGCTGGGGTAGGCGTGGCCAGGTGGATGTGTCCAGCTTGACGTCACTCATGTTGGGGGAACCTTGTGGTGGCACAAGTGCTCTGCCAGAGAAAACAGGCTCCCAAGCTCCGTTTTCAGCTGCGACAGCCTCCTGCAATCCCCTGCCAGTGAAAACAGAGTGGGCCTCCCAAGCCAGACCTCCACTGTTTCCAGGGAGGCCCCACAGGCCAGATCTAAACACCCCACAGACTGAATCCAGCCCTGGGCCTTGAGTTTGACACCCCTGGTCTAGCTATATAGAATTTTATCAACGTATGGGACATTCAAAATGAAGTATTAGAGGACCTGTAGGCCCCAAACAGCTACAGTTAGATAGCACCAGCTTTATTCACAGAATGAATAAAATGGGATAAGCAAGCAGTTATTGTGAGAGATGGCTTTTGAAGTGGGAAATAGCAAAAAAAAGTGTGAATATCAATCACATACAGCATCTTCAAAAGGTCTTATCTCTGATATATTCAATGACAGGAAGCAGAAATAAACACTGAGGCAAAAACAAAAATTACAAATTAATTATTAACATAATGAATAAAGCTAGCATTAGTTGAATTTGGTCATTGCAGATTAGAGTCCTTAGAGGTAATGGTACTGGAAAACACACAATCCCAAATGCATAGTTCTCTGGATGTTCAAAATTGGAAATGTAGACATTTTTCTCACCATCAAAATAAATGCTAAAAAGCATACAGCATTGATTTCCTGTGTACAAGTATTGCAATAAAAACATTTTAGTGCATGATTTAGACTATGGCTGAATAGTCTAAATTGCACTGTTATTAATATTAACATCACATTAACAGAGCAATCTAGTGTATGTCCACAGAATTTATATTGGCCACTACATGAAATTAAACCATAGTTAACAATATTAAACTTTATGGGGTCAGTTCCTGAATTACAAACTACCCTTTGCAAATAAAAAGTTTTATATGTGTACCAGGCCAGTGGTAATAGCATAATGTTTATTAATTTTCTATTTAACATACTAAATAGCTTCTTTTAAACTGTATTTCAAAACCTACGTACAGACTGTACCGTCCCATAGTAAGCATTAGTAAGATAAAAGATTCAGAAATTTATAAAGTTTACCAGCGTTCTCAGGGAGAGTGTGAGTGTATGTGTCTATGTATGTGTTTTCTGGAAGAAAACTAATCTTCTAATCTTTTTTTCCAGCAAAATTTGGAATTATTCACCCATATGCACAGATTTACAACAGGGATTGTGCAACTCCTGAGGCTAGATAAACTAAGTTGATCACTGAAATATTCAATTTCCCTTGCAATATTACTGGAGGGAAAAAGCTTATTTGATCAAAACTTTACTCACTTAAAATGCAAATTCAGGAGGTAAATAAGCTCCTAGGATATTTCCAAACAGTGAGAATTTCCTTGGACAGCTTTTGAAACAATATGAAGTATACAAAGTACAAAGCAATTTATTTGTTGTTGTTCTAGTGACTTGTAGATATCTAGGAAAGTATGACCTGAACAATCTAGAGAACTTAAATCAAGACTTTCAAAAGTATTAGCATTTGTGAAGCTCTGGTGGCATTGATTTTATTGTCATAAAAGAATCATTCATCATTCATTTGGCAATTTATATGGAAGCAAGTCTGAAGGAAACATCGCTCATACTAATACAGAAAATCTAAGGCAGAACAATAAGCCATTTGAGAGAAAAAGGGATTATAGGAAGAGGTTCAGTTACTATGAAAGAGAAACACACAGGACTTAAGAGAGCATGATAGGTTGTTCTTCCATCTTAAGATGGAAGACAAAAGAGAAATACCTGCTATAAGGATTGAAAGGTGACAAAAGTCTGGTTTTTTTAAAAAAGATTTTCTTTTCTACATGATCTTTGAGTATTTAGAGCAGGGGTGTCAAACTTGCAGCCCGCAGGTCAGATGCATCACATTGGCCACGCCCACCCCCGTTTTAGCAAAGGAGGAAAATGTCATGGTACAACACATGATGACAATGTGACAACACGAGTTTGACACCCCTGATTTAGAACAATTGCACACTCTCAGTTAGGTTAGGATGAAGATCAGTTTACTACCACTGATAGCTAGAAGAATCATCTTAATAGGACAGTAACCCTATTAAGCTACCTTACCTTTGCTGGAACACATTCAGCAAAGTTTTTACCGCCTCCTTTACACATTTCACTCTCAACAGCTATCATCATGTTGAGGCTTCTCTGACAATTAAAAAAGAATCTACCTTTTTTACAAACTCAAAATGAATGTTCATTTCCTGAATTCTAGGATGATGAAGAACTGGTTACGGAATTCTACTGATTTAAGAGTTGAATCAGATACCCTCCCAGTCAACTGTGAGAGAGATAGGTCAAAAATGTGACTGATAAATAAATAAACAAACTTTTCTTAAGTCTAATATCTTTTCATATCATTTAGCTTCTAATTATCTTGAGATATTTTCTATCACTAAGCATAGTGATAGAAATGCCCAGAACTAAGCATAGTATCTAAAACAGATCTAAGATTTCAGAATCTTTAGAAACTATACTTTTATTAATATAAGCCTAAAATTTCATATACTTCACTTTTTGTGTAGGCATGTCATACCACAAGTTATTAGTTTATTGGTTTGTATGTTTATTAATTTTTATTACATTTATATGCCACCCATCTAATTTTGAATGGATTGTGGGTAGCATATAGCAAATTCATGTTCTGTTTGTCATTATTTATCAATCCAGAATCCGTTTCATCAGTGCTATTCACTTGTGAGTCATCTGGAAATTTATTAAATATTTCTCTCTACCTCCTCATGAAAGTAATCATTAAAATGAAGAGTACCAAGCACACAATTGATAATCTTTAACTTTCTTTGAAGAGGACTTGTTGAGAATTAAGTACAATCTCTGAGTCAGTAATGTAGTCACTTAATTGCAATAGCATCCAACCAAAATTTATACAGCCTGCACATCAGAATTCCTATCCTTAAATTGCTTAATTTGAACAGAAACAACCTTCTGCTTAGCTACACAGATCCAAGTAAAAGTCAAAGGTCTGCAGAATAGGCCACTGTAAGTAAATGAAGTGAAATTTAAAACTGTTCTATACTAACAAAGGGGCTATAGAGAATAATAATATAGTACCAAGAATATTTGCTGTACGCTGGAGAATTCCTGAGACATCTTCAGTTTCATCATTGCCAGAATGGTCTGCATAGGAGCATCGGTTGGAAATATTATGGAAATTCTTTTCAGCATCCCTGTAACTAGAAAGAAACATACAGTTAGTGGTGTATGGTAGCATAACGAAGACATCTGAAAGCACCTAAGTGAAACAACTAAACCAGTGGTAGGATTCATTTTTTTTTTTTACTACCAGTTCTGTGGGAGTGGCTTGGTAGACGTGGCAGGGGAAGGATACTGTAAAATCTCCAGTCAAAGGTGGTATTTGCTGATTCTCTGAACTACTCAAAATTTCCACTACCGGTTTTCCAGAACTAGTCAGAACCTGCTGAATACCACCTCTGGACTAATTTGAAATGACCACTCTTTCTGAAAAAGAATGCTCGTTCTTTTTGAAAACATATAATCTAATACAGAGTTTTTCAACCTTGGCAGCTTTAAGATGTGTGAACATCAAACTCCTAGAATTCTGAGTGCTGAACTCCACATATCTTCAGGCTTCAAAGGCTGAGAAAGACTGGTCTAATACTTCCATCTTTTTTATGGAAATGAACCAGCAATCAGATGCAACAAGCAACAAAGCGGAATCTGCAGATCCATGTTTGTCCACAGATGTGTAACGTAATCTCTCCTTCCTAAAACAGAAAAACTTTGTAGTTTCCAAGCACTTGTTTGCAGGTTATCTAACAGGGAAGCTTACAACCTACATTGATATTCTGAAGAAAATAAAGAAGGAGAAACCAAACCAAACAGGGAATAAACACACATAAATCAACTTAACCCTTGAGGTCTAGGAATGTGAACTTCAAAAAACGAATGGATCCTTTGCTGCAAGTTTCTACTCCTTTTCTTCCCTATCCGTTCTATACTTGCCATCAAACTATGAGCAAGTTTGCAAAGGTGATTCCCTAAGCAGCAGCTTCTTCTACTATTCTAGCCTTAGGTACTGTACTGACGTGTCTGAATTGTTAACTAAGGAGAGTTGATAAGATAGCTTGACTAAAATGCCCGCAAGGATAAGTACCTAAAACTTGGGAAACCTCAGAAGCCTGTACTGAATTTTAATGCATGTTTCCAACAGAACCAGAAGAGAATGTCAAAGGATCAAGGGCACTTGCATAATTGGAAACAACAAGTATTATTTGCTTAATCAATATAGCTCCATTGCTTAATCAATATAGCTCTGGCAGGTGTCTCATCCATACAACATTGCAGTGAGAGCCAGCAGTAGCTGTTGGATCCAATTCTACCATTAAGCTGTGGAATAATCACCTCCAACAGCAGACCTTTGACAATGTTTCCAAACAAGAATTTATTGTTATTGTGAGTATACTGCAGTAGATGGTGGTCGGTACTCTGGAATTTTCTGTCTCGTGTGGCAAAGTAACTTGGCGAGCTCTGAGCATTATGCCTCTTCAGTTGGGGAGTGAAATGGTAACAAATAATAGGCAGTCAATGCAGATTAGGGAAAACAAAAATAGACACAACACAATGGTGCCAATTAATTTTATGAAGCAGCTGTTGCTTGATCTATTATAAATTGAAGCTGCCTGTTACTTAGTTGAATCTAAATATTGGTATGATTGATCAATCTTTTATGGCTTTGCCTGAAAGTTGATCAGTGAGTTTCTATTGCAAAGGGGATTTGAACCTAGGTGTTCCCAGTCATACTCTAACACATTAACTACCAAACCATGCTGGCTAGACTACCACGCTATGCTTGTAAAACAAAAGGAAGACACAACTCAGAAAATTCATAAGTACATCAAAGGCTTCCAGGGTACAAGATTCAAAGTTTCAATTCTTATATTTCTAATTAATGAAAGGTTAGGTAGCAGGCCAGTAATGAAAAGACACATGCTGAAAAATTGTTTTCAGACACAATATATAAATATTGGACACATTTAGCCATTTACCTGGTGCCTTATCAGGCAACTCTTTATAGTATTCAGTAGCCTACATCTATCTATTGTCCTATAGATATGTTGGAAATAATAGCCCCAAGCACTGTGGCCAAGTGTTAAAAATGTGGGAAATATAATCCAAAATAGACAGGAAAAGGAAAGCTGCAGCACACTGGCTTAAAAATAACTTTTATATTTATTTTATTTATCCGACTTATATAACCACTCATCTCAAATCACTCTTGTATATGCATATGATCATAAAAATCATATAAACCAGATTACAGATACAATACAATCTCTTTCTTTCTCTTTGGAGCAGGTAAGAAAATTATAATCCATAGATATTAAGATAACCAGGAAACAGGGCCCTCAGTCCACTTATTTTAACTATTTTATTATTATTATTATTATTATTATTATTATTATTATTATTATTATT